GGGGGGGGGGGGCAGTTCTCAAGCTGGGTCCTCTCTTTGAAAATGGGGTTCCTTCTTGGAGGGATAAGAAATTAGTTCTTTTTGCCTGGCCAGAGTGGCTCAGCGGTGAGAACATTGTCCACTGAGTCTCAGGTGCTGCAGCTGCCCCTCACTACTAATTATAGGCTAAAAAGAGGCTGGTGGTCACTCTCATGGGGCAGGTGAGCCATCTGGAGAGCAGGGAAGTGGGGGACAGCTCAGAAGTAAGAGGCAAATAGGCCATTACCTTCCAGAACTTTCTCTCTCCATAAACATAAAGCCAACACAAGTATCGACTGAGGGTTGGTCACAACCCGAGGCCTAGCACCAAGCAGTGCAGGGTATGATGCAAGGAATCAGGAGGCTGGGAGAGTGCGGGCTGCCCTCAGGGACTCTCAGTCTCATGGGGAAGGCAAAGTCCATATGTGTTCACACATTTGACAGTCATACGTCCAGGCAATTAGTAGATCATCAGATGCAATGTTAGGTGGCATTGAGACCGGGTTCTGGAGACCAGGTGTTGGTGGACCTGAGAGGCCTGGACACCTCCTGGAGGATATGAGGCAGGCTGGTAGGGCCTGGAGAGACGGGAGGGACCTGACACAGTGGAAGGGCGAGGAGAAGCTGGAAAGAAACATGGGTGTTCCTGGAACGTTAGCAGAGAAGGGATGAGACTGGGCACAGGGGACTTCTAAGCTTGTATCTACCCCCATGTGGACTCCCACAAGGCATTTCCATTTTTTTTGTCTCAGTTTCCCAATTTGAGCAATGAAAGGTTTGAGCTAAATCACAAGTTTCCAAGTGCTGTTCCTTCGTGGACAGATCCCAGGCCGTTAAAGGGTAAAATGAGCAGGCTGGGCTCGGCCCTTCCCCTTGCCCCGTCCGCCTCTGCCAGAGAAGCCCTGCTTTGCTACAATTGTCACTCCCTGCACACGTTCACTTCCAGGAGGGATTTGAGAATCACTCGACAGGAAATTTTGTAAAGGCTCTTTCCATTGGTACGTCGGGTGGCCGAAAGAAAGCAGAGAGAAGCAGGTTCGCACAATGGATGGGGCCCCCAGGTGGACTGGGCTGGCTGCCGGAACAGCTTGGCAGCAGAGAGTGTAGGCCCCTGGGGCAGGAGTCAGGGAACCCGCGAAGGTGAAGGTGCGTGAGTGGAGGGATAGCACAGGGAGACAAGTGAAATCAGCCCCGCCAGCTGCCGGAGAAGCCACTGATCTGAAAATCTCAACTGCTCAGAGGTTCTGAGTAAACACAAAGGTTGATTTTCCCCCTTGTCAGCCTTCCCTCCCAGGACACTGTACTGTATGCAAAACGGGTAACTGTAAGACAAACATTTTTTTCCACTGCCCTTCTCAGCCCCACGGCCTTCAGGAAGACCTGCACTTCAAGCAAAGTTCTTTTATTTTTCAACACCCACAGCTTCCATTCAACAACCAGAAGTTTTCCACTTTCATCAAAGAGACAGAAGAGAGAGGCCGAGGGAGCAGGCTTTTCTCAGCAGCTCTGGGCAGATTACTGAGCCCCCTGCTACCCACTCACTGCCCATGCCCAGCACAGGACACAGCCTTCTCCCCAAATCAGCCAGGCACACACGCATAAGAGAAAGAGAAAAACACTGGCTCGCTTCATCCGCACCCCAGCTACCAGGCGGAGTGAGTGTGTGCCGACTTCTCCCTAAACCGAGCCCAGGGGGTAGCTGAACCTGTTGTGGGAATCAATTCACCATAAAAAAATAAAACAAAAAACCATTGTGCTCTACACCTTAAACTTATTCAGTGGTGTATATCAATTATTTCTCAATAAAACTGGGGGCATAGCCCGGCCGCCTTGGCTCAGTGGTCGAGCATCAACCTAGAATCCAGGAGATCGAGGTTCGATTCCCGGTCAGGGCACATGCCCGGGTTGGGGGCTCGACCACCAGCAGGGGGTGTGCAGGAGGCAGCCCATGACTCTCTCCTCATTGATGTTTCTCTCTCTCTCTCTCTCCCTTCTTCTCTCTGAAGTCACTAAAAACATATTTTTTATAAAAAAACTGGGGGGATAAAACCCTAATTTAGGATTAAGGGGCCTCAGCTTTCTTGAGTATAAAATAGGTATGAAACCTACCGCTCTATTTAGCCCAAGAAAACACCTTGCTTCTTGACGGCTCTTCCCTATCCAGAATCTGTGATTTTATAGATTCGCCAGGAAGAAATATCCAGACCAGTTCCCAGAGTCTGACCTAACTCGGGTGACGCTCAGCGGTTTGGGATCCCTGCAGAGGCGGCAGTGGTAATAATCCAAGCTTGGCTTGGGACACAGGACATTTCCTTCGGCAGATCTGGGGTTCCCGCTCGCACTCAGAGATACGCTACAGCCAAAAAGGGAGCAGAAAAGGGAGGGGTGCAACAAAGAACTGGGTGCTTCCAGAGGAAGTTTTCAGAGCTACAGCCAGAGTCACCAGCTCTGCCGTGATTCGCAGCTTAAATGTGTTTTGACATGGAGAGCAATAGTAAGCTCAGATGTGGCCAGATCTGTCCCCCAGAGAATTTGTCTACTGAATTCGTCTATCTACATTCCAGACTGGGCCCAGGGGACCACGTCGGATGCTTAACCGGAACGGCCCGACACCACGGCCAAGTCTATTCCCACTCTCGAGCACGCTTCATTGCCATCCCGTTGCATCTTCACGGTGGCTCTCAGTGCAGCTGAGGAAAGGCAGGGCCACGAGGATTTGTCCAAGGACTCAGGGTAAGTAAGGGGCAGGGCTGAGAGCCAACCTCAGGCTCCCAGCCTTTAGGTGCAGTGACAGTTGGATGACTTAGCACGGGCTTGGGGACTAGCCAGGCATAGCTACCACCCAGGTTACCTCATTGATCAACATTTGCAACTTTGCTTGAGACAGTTTTCATTCTGATTCTCAGTTTTCCCATCTGGACAAAAGAGATATTACCTGCCTCGGAAGGCGGAGCTGAGGGCAGAGTGAGGCCATAAATAAAGCTCCTCGCACTGTGCCTGAGACAGCAGAGGTTCAAGTGTAATAGTCACACACATACACACCCCACACACAATACACAACACATCCACGTGCACACAACGTACACTGCACATCACAAATGCACACCACGCAGGCAACCACCCCCATGCAACACGTGCACACCCCCCCACGCTGGGCACCAGACCACTTCCCCACCCCCACCCTCAGGGCCCATTCCTTCCCCTTTTTCTGAGTTTCATGATGAGCCCAGGCTTATCTGCCACTTCAACAGATCCCAATACACTGCCCAAATTTCTGTCCAAAGATCAGTGTTTCCAGATTTTTCTGCTCACAAACAGTCTCTTTGCACCTGTCCCCAAATGCTATGCTGCCATGAGCTTGTCCTTTGGCTCAGTCGCCACATTCGTGGGCTCTTCCTTCCTGGATATCCGGCAGCGTATCCAGTTTTCAGCAGGGCCGATACTGTGAGGCTGAGCCCGGCCTCCCGAGGCCCAGCAAAGAGGCATTTTCTGAGCAGGTCTTATCAGCAGGCCTCCCTGAAGAGACTGTGCCGCCTCTCGAGCAGGAAGGCGTCTTGTGGCTGAGTCTAAACGAAACAGAAGTAACTCTGGGCTCA